TGTCTACAGAGAATCATAGTTCTTGATATCACTGTCAAACCTGTCTACAGAGAATCATAGTTCTTGATATCACTGTCAAACCTGTCTACAGAGAATCATAGTTCTTGATATCACATGTCAAACCTGTCTACAGAGAATCATAGTTCTTGATATCACATGTCAAACCTGTCTACAGAGAATCATAGTTCTTGATATCACATGTCAAACCTGTCTACAGAGAATCATAGTTCTTGATATCACATGTCAAACCTGTCTAAAGAGAATCATAGTTCTTGATATCACATGTCAAACCTGTCTACAGAGAATCATAGTTCTTGATATTACTGTCAAACCTGTCTACAGAGAATCATAGTTCTTGAATTTACTGTCAAACCTGTCTAAAGAGAATCATAGTTCTTGATATCACATGTCAAACCTGTCTAAAGAGAATCATAGTTCTTGATATCACATGTCAAACCTGTCTAAAGAGAATCATAGTTCTTGATATCACATGTCAAACCTGTCTAAAGAGAATCATAGTTCTTGATATCACATGTCAAACCTGTCTAAAGAGAATCATAGTTCTTTATATCACATGTCAAACCTGTCTAAAGAGAATCATAGTTCTTGATATCACATGTCAAACCTGTCTAAAGAGAATCATAGTTCTTGATATCACATGTCACAAACCTGTCTACAGAGAATCATAGTTCTTGATATCACATGTCCAACCTGTCTACAGAGAATCATAGTTCTTGATATCACTGTCAAACCTGTCTACAGAGAATCATAGTTCTTGATATCACATGTCAAACCTGTCTACAGAGAATCATAGTTCTTGATATCACATATCTCATGTCAAACCTGTCTAAAGAGAATCATAGTTCTTGATATCACATGTCAAACCTGTCTAAAGAGAATCATAGTTCTTGATATCACATGTCAAACATGTCAAAAGAGAATCATAGTTCTTGATATCACATGTCACACCTGTCTAAAGAGAATCATAGTTCTTGATATCACATGTCAAACCTGTCTAAAGAGAATCATAGTTCTTGATATCACATGTCAAACCTGTCTACAGAGAATCATACTTCTTGACATTACATATCAAAGAGAATCATAGTTCTTGATATCACATGTCAAACCTGTCTAAAGAGAATCATAGTTCTTGATATCACATGTCAAACCTGTCTAAAGAGAATCATAGTTCTTGATATCACATGTCCAACCTGTCTACAGAGAATCATAGTTCTTGATATCACATGTCAAACCTGTCTACAGAGAATCATAGTTCTTGATATCACATGTCCAACCTGTTTAAAATGAAAACTTCTTCCAGCAACAGTACTGTTTAAATCTAGAAAACGTTTGATACATGAAAGTTTCATAGGTAACAACAGAAAAAATATAAATGTGCCTTTTACTTTAGTGAGTTTTACAAGCATGTTTAATATCTAAGTATAGATTAACAAGGCTGCCGTACACTGGAGATATATATTACATGGCAAGTTAGTGATAAGAATGAAAAGAGGTAGGTGTGTGGGAGGGGCACACTGACTAGCTGATCTGTCAGTAACTACACCATACTGTCACCATTGTACAAATTCCTTAATGGGAATAAAGTCGCATCGACTAATTAATTTTCAGATTGATTTCCTCTAGTGAAATTTTAAAGTTATTCTTAAATCTTGAAAATATTGAAAGCAGTGTCATTTCTTTCACTCAGGACTTGTTGGAATGGTTTAAGATTCATAGGTCATCGGAAGGATGACTATCTATGACAAAATAGTAGTGGAACCTGCACTGTTACAATATAAGAGATCTTCCAAATTCACCTACCTTGGTTGAATTTCACCAGAGTTCAACATTTCACCTGCCTGTGCTAGATTTAAGATATGTGCTATAACTTTACATTGGGTTTATTACTGAAGGTGACACTACTGAATAAGTGATATCGAGACATATTAAGCAAATATTAACTATAACAAACCTAGAAATCCAAGGTAGCACTTTAGTTTGGAAATGTGTATTTGATGTTTATATATTACAAATATGAGAAATACATATACGAGGTCTTACTGGGAAACTCTTAAACAAAATAGAAGCTCTATGATTTGGTTACATGTAAAAATAGCTTTATATCTATGGTTACTGGAAAGATGTTAGAAAATTACCTAATTCTATATCTAATTTAACAGAATACAAAACACTGTATTAAGTAGAATGTGTCACAAATCTGCCTATCAATATATCATCACTATCTGTACCTCGTATAAAAGTACTCTGTAACATTTTATTAAAAGAGTCGTCCTTAACAGTTTTATTGTTGTACAAGTTAAGCTGTTGTTGTCAACAGTCCCATCCTATATTTAACTACATGTAAATTAAAATTACTACACCTTTTTCTCTTTTAACTGATAAGACTGACAGTTGCTCTCTGATCTGAAGAGAGCCTGGTCGCTGATCTTTCTACCAGAAGAGAGCTTGGTTGCTGATCTTTTTACCAGAAGAGAGCTTGGTCGCTGATCTTTCTGCCAGAAGAGAGCTTGGGCGCTTATCTTTCTGCCAGAAGAGAGCTTTGGCGCTTATCTTTCTGCCAGAAGAGAGCTTGGGCGCTTATCTTTCTGCCAGAAGAGAGCTTGGGCGCTTATCTTTCTGCCAGAAGAGAGCTTGGGCGCTTATCTTTCTGCGAGAAGAGAGCTTGGGCGCTTATCTTTCTGCCAGAAGAGAGGTTGGGTGCTTATCTTTCTGCCAGAAGAGAGCTTTGGCGCTTATCTTTCTGCCAGAAGAGAGCTTGGGCGCTTATCTTTCTGCCAGAAGAGAGCCTGGTCGCTGATCTTTCTACCAGAAGAGAGCTTGGTTGCTGATCTTTTTACCAGAAGAGAGCTTGGGCGCTGATCTTTCTGCCAGAAGAGAGAGGTTGCCAGAAGAGAGGGCGCTTATCTTTCTGCGAGAAGAGAGGTTGGGCGCTTATCTTTCTGCCAGAAGAGAGCGAGAAGAGAGGTTGGGCGCTTATCTTTCTGCGAGAAGAGAGGTTGGGCGCTTATCTTTCTGCCAGAAGAGAGCTTGGGCGCTTATCTTTCTGCGAGAAGAGAGGTTGGGCGCTTATCTTTCTGCGAGAAGAGAGCTTGGGCGCTTATCTTTCTACCAGAAGAGAGCTTTGGTGCTTATCTTTCTACCAGAAGAGAGCTTGGGTGCTTATCTTTCTGCGAGAAGAGAGCTTTGGTGCTTATCTTTCTACCAGAAGAGAGCTTGGGCGCTTATCTTTCTGCCAGAAGAGAGCTTGGGCGCTTATCTTTCTGCCAGAAGAGAGCCTGGTCGCTGATCTTTCTACCAGAAGAGAGCTTGGTTGCTGATCTTTTTACCAGAAGAGAGCTTGGTCGCTGATCTTTCTGCCAGAAGAGAGCTTGGGCGCTTATCTTTCTGCCAGAAGAGAGCTTTGGCGCTTATCTTTCTGCCAGAAGAGAGCTTGGGCGCTTATCTTTCTGCCAGAAGAGAGCTTGGGCGCTTATCTTTCTGCCAGAAGAGAGCTTGGGCGCTTATCTTTCTGCGAGAAGAGAGGTTGGGCGCTTATCTTTCTGCCAGAAGAGAGGTTGGGTGCTTATCTTTCTGCCAGAAGAGAGCTTTGGCGCTTATCTTTCTACCAGAAGAGAGCTTGGGCGCTTATCTTTCTGCGAGAAGAGAGGTTGGGCGCTTATCTTTCTGCCAGAAGAGAGCTTGGGCGCTTATCTTTCTGCGAGAAGAGAGGTTGGGCGCTTATCTTTCTGCGAGAAGAGAGGTTGGGCGCTTATCTTTCTGCCAGAAGAGAGCTTGGGCGCTTATCTTTCTGCGAGAAGAGAGGTTGGGCGCTTATCTTTCTGCGAGAAGAGAGCTTTGGTGCTTATCTTTCTACCAGAAGAGAGCTTGGGTGCTTATCTTTCTGCGAGAAGAGAGCTTTGGTGCTTATCTTTCTACCAGAAGAGAGCTTGGGCGCTTATCTTTCTGCCAGAAGAGAGCTTGGGCGCTTATCTTTCTGCCAGAAGAGAGCTTTGGTGCTTATCTTTCTGCCAGAAGAGAGCTTGACCAATGTCCATCTTTAACTCAAAGTTTGTCTTATTATCATATAAAGATTGCTGGATCCACATATCTTTATTATACACAAAATCTGTTATAGATTTATAACTAGGGTAGAAGTACACCTTAAACAGACAGTCTATCAGAAAATCATGCTTTTCCTGGTGGTAGGGTTTTCAGTACTGCATCAATGACAATCTTTTTACGGGACTTATTCCTTTTTGTTGAAATGTCTATTAAAACTGTTAACAAAGATTGTCAGAAAAACTGTCTGGAGTGATACATGATCAGCAGCGACACACGGTCAACAGCGACACACGGTCAGCAGCGACACACGGTCAGCAGCGACACACGGTCAACAGCGACACATGGTCAGCAGTGACACAGGGTCAGCAGCGACACACGGTCAACAGCGACACACGGTCAGTGGTGACACCTGGTCAACGGCGACACATGGTCAGCGGTGACACAGGGTCAGCAGTGACACACGGTCAGCAGCGACAAATGGTCAGCAGCAACACAGTCAACAGCGATACACGGTCAACAGCAACACACGGTCAACAGCCAAACATGGTCAGCAGTGACACATGGTCAGTAGTGACACATGGCATGGACTGCATTTAATTTCCTTATCACTAATATAATTTTATCTGGCAATATTGAGCTTCGTGTATTTGGTTGATTTTAGCATTCTTCAAAAATGTACAGTCCCTTTAAGCTGGTGATCCAGATGTCTAGCAGCCCCGTGCAGTTTAAAGCATGCACCTTTGTTTTATACCAAAAACCCTCCATGCTTTATGCCACTGTAAGAACTCTATACACTATTACATCAACATATAATGTTGGAGGACAAGAGATCGAGGCCAGGAGATGAGAGTTTGTTATAACCATCACACTGTTTCAATGCTTTCAATTATCTTGGTTGTGGTACATTCTTATGATGACACTCATTGACCTTTGACCTGTCAGGATCCCATGCTCTGGGTTCGGGTCGTTGGGTACAGTTTAGAGTACTTCTGACTCATTGTTTGCGTGTTGGGAGGAATGAGTGAGACTGATTTGTCTCTGGCAGAAATGGATTGCCTGAAAGGTAAAAGATTAGAATCATATTAAGACTTTTGACACATAATTCAAGGAAATAACAGTACATAAGAATTCTCTTAGTTTTCATAGTACAACAATCTGCAAGTCTCTGAAACTCCATAAAAAATTCAAATGTCACCACTATACAAATAACTACCAACAACGCTGTACAGATAACTACCAACAACGCTGTACAAATAACTACCAACAACACTGTACAGATAACTACCAACAACGCTGTACAAATAACTACCAACAACGCTGTACAAATAACTACCAACAACGCTGTACAGATAACTACCAACAACGCTGTACAGATAACTACCAACAACACTGTACAGATAACTACCAACAACGCTGTACAGATAACTACCAACAACGCTGTACAGATAACTACCAACAACGCTGTACAGATAACTACCAACAACGCTGTACAGATAACTACCAACAACGCTGTACAGATAACTACCAACAACGCTGTACAGATAACTACCAACAACGCTGTACAGATAACTACCAACAACGCTGTACAGATAACTACCAACAACGCTGTACAGATAACTACCAACAACGCTGTACAGATAACTACCAACAACGCTGTACAGATAACTACCAACAACGCTGTACAAAAAACTACCAACAACGCTGTACAGATAACTACCAACAACGCTGTACAGATAACTACCAACAACGCTGTACAGATAACTACCAACAACACTGTACAGATAACTACCAACAACACTGTACAGATAACTACCAACAACAGATAACTACCAACAACACTGTACAGATAACTACCAACAACGCTGTACAGATAACTACCAACAACACTGTACAGATAACTACCAACAACGCTGTACAGATAACTACCAACAACACTGTACAGATAACTACCAACAACGCTGTACAGATAACTACCAACAACGCTGTACAGATAACTACCAACAACACTGTACAGATAACTACCAACAACGCTGTACAAAAAACTACCAACAACGCTGTACAGATAACTACCAACAACGCTGTACAGATAACTACCAACAACGCTGTACAGATAACTACCAACAACGCTGTACAGATAACTACCAACAACGCTGTACAGATAACTACCAACAACGCTGTACAGATAACTACCAACAACACTGTACAGATAACTACCAACAACACTGTACAGATAACTACCAACAACGCTGTACAAAAAACTACCAACAACACTGTACAGATAACTACCAACAACGCTGTACAGATAACTACCAACAACACTGTACAGATAACTACCAACAACACTGTACAGATAACTACCAACAACGCTGTACAAAAAACTACCAACAACACTGTACAGATAACTACCAACAACGCTGTACAGATAACTACCAACAACGCTGTACAGATAACTACCAACAACGCTGTACAGATAACTACCAACAACGCTGTACAGATAACTACCAACAACGCTGTACAGATAACTACCAACAACGCTGTACAAATAACTACCAACAACGCTGTACAGATAACTACCAACAACGCTGTACAAATAACTACCAACAACGCTGCACAGATAACTACCAACAAGGCTGTACAGATAACTACCAACAACACTGTACAGATAACTACAATCACCAATGTACAGATAACTACCAACAACGCTGTACAGATAACTACCAACAACCCTGTACAGATAACTACCAACAACGCTGTACAGATAACTACCAACAACACTGTACAGATAAACATTGCTATATCACTGATGTGTTATATTTCTCACCCAGTTGAAGACTGATCCTCCACACTACTGTGATGTGGGGTATTGCTTTGGGAAGATTTGGCCTCAGCAGCAAATTGATAGACAATGAGAAGACAGTCACGACAGAGTTGGACAATACGACGGCAGCAGTTTAACTCCGCTTCACAGATGTTCTCAGAACTTTTACTGAAAATTGCCTCCCAGCTTGTGGCATTGCTGTAACAAAAAAACACCAATGTGGTTTACAGCAGTGGAAACTGAAACAGCAGTATTGATAATAAAACCTGTTTATTACTACAATGTGATAGATATCCATGGCCATGTTTAGTGACATAGAAGGTCATGTAAAGGATATAGTTAATTAATGCTAGCACCAACCTAAACATGTAATAATTTTTTTTCATGAATTGTGTGCTTTTACCTATTGTTTGCATCCCCTGTAGAAAGATACAATGACCCCCCCCCCACCCAAGACAGACTTGAGGTATATGTAGAGAACCCTGACACCTCTTGGTGCTAAGATTCTGTAAAACAAGTCCCTATGTTCATGAAATGACAACATTCCACTTTTACAAGGATTTGAATTTTCTTAACCTATTCCTATCAATTTAGGTTGAAAAAATGTCAAACAAATTCAACATCTGCTTTATTAAAGAAACATCAAAGGACATCATGCCACCTTAAAACTAGATTAAATCTCAAAGAAATTGCCTAAAGATGTATTCTATACAGTCAAGAGATAGATTTCATATGTTACCTGGACGAGGAGAAGTCTAGAGATAGATTTTATATGTTACCTGGACGAGGAGAAGTCTAGAGATAGATTTTATATGTTATCTGGACGAGGAGAAGTCTAGAGATAGATTTTATATGTTACCTGGACGAGGAGAAGTCTAGAGATAGATTTTATATGTTATCTGGATAGATTTTATATGTTATCTGGACGAGGAGAAGTCTAGAGATAATTTTATATGTTATCTGGACGAGGAGAAGTGTTTAGATAGATTTTTTATGTTTTCTGGACGAGGTGAATTCTTTAGATAGATTTTATATGTTACCTGGATGAGGAGAAGTCTAGAGATAGATTTTATATGTTATCTGGACGAGGAGAAGTCTAGAGATAGATTTTATATGCTACCTGGAGGAGAAATCTAGAGATAGATTTTATATGTTACCTGGATGAGGAGAAGTCTAGAGATAGATTTTATATGTTACCTGGATGAGGAGAAGTCTAGAGATAGATTTTATATGTTACCTGGATGAGGAGAAGTCTAGAGATAGATTTTATATGTTACCTGGACGAGGAGAAGCAGTTCCAGAGTCCCTGGCCATGACTCCATAGTAGCCGGATTTTATATGTTACCTGGACGAGGAGAAGCAGTTCCAGAGTCCCTGGCCATGACTCCATAGTAGCCGGTTAAACACGCGGTTGAAGATTCGATACACTTTCAGACTGTCCACATCACTGACACGCCAGGTACGTAAAAGTACTGCTCGCACATTTGAACGCACAATATCTATCACCTGCAACAGAGACCTTAGTTTCAGCCTTCTTAATATTTAAAGGCAGATCCTTTTGGTTAATTTACTGTTGCATGTATATGCAGGTATAATTACAAGGTGATAACAGTTTGAAATTCTATAGAACTGAAAATATATATACATTTGTGTCTTGAGGAAATATTATCAATTTTCATTCTCAGTAACTATGTACTTAATTATCTTTAGTTAGTTATGTATAAAACACTCTTCCAATTCCGAAATTGGAATCACAAATAAATCATCAATATATATATTTGAATCACCATCTGTCATAATCAACTGACGATGGTTTTTGTGTCTCTCATAAAATAAAGGACCTTTTGCGTCCATCGGCCGAAGGGATTATAGAGACACCTAAATTTACATCACCGCTCTCAATTTAGATTTATAACTTTGTATTTATTTTATGTTATATGAATGTAATGTAATTTATGTAATATTTGTGTCTTGATACAAATTTGACAATTTACTTGTCCGTACTGCCACTATCACTTTATAGATAAATATATATATTGTTCAATTCTGCTTTTGCAGAACAAAAACAAAAGTCTTTATGTACATCTTCTTTCAACTTGACTCATTTTCAATGCATAATTGCAATCAATTCAAAGGAAAGATTTCAAATGGTTAAGAAGATAGGAGATAACTTACCTTCCTTCGTTTGATCGAGTCAAGCTTCACCAGCCAGTATGATGCAATCCTGGGTTTGTGGAACTTCCAGTTTTCGTGTAACTACAATTCAAACAAGAGATTAAACCAGAGTTTCACAGGCAAAAGTCTCAATTAATCATACTTGTACAATGACAAACTTTAAAACTTCTCTCAAATATCCTTCTCTGGATTTTATGATATACTTATTTATTTTTATGTTTTTTATTTCATCAAAAATAAAATATATTGATCAATCTGTTTTTGTCTGATGGTTTTCAGTTTTAATTAATTAACAACAATCAAGACAAAGAGTTACCTGTGATGAAGTTTTAATTGTGATCAAAATTTAAATGAGATTGAAATTAACATTTTCACTGTGAAAACAAGAATATGAGTGAAACTGATGAATGCTCCCCGTCAAAAAACAGACTATGTATGACACAAAATTTTAATAAAGGGCAATAATTAAGGGGTTACAGGTTCTGAATTTGGTACACTGCATATCATCTTTATATGACCAATGTAAACACCAAATTTACTTATCCTAGATCAAATGAAAGCAAAGTTATCCTCCTGACATTAAATTTCAACAAAGGGCAATAACTCTGTAATTGAGGGGTTGCAGGCCCTGAATTTGGTATACTGCACATTGTCTTAGTATGACCAATGTATACAAACTTCATAGCCCTTGATTTGCTGTGGGCAAAGTTATGCTCTGAAAGGCCAGATAGAAAGATGGACAAACAGATGGACGGACAGACAAACTGGCAATTATATGCTCCTTGGTAAATGGAATAATTTCATAACCCTATCTCCAAGTTAATGTCTCCACATTTTCTTTACCTTATCAAGGATATACTCTGCCTCCTGGTCTGACTTGCCCGGGAATTTGATTCTCATCTCATTCAAAGCCACCAGTGTCTTCCTTGTTAACTCATCCTCACGTTCCTTCACCACACTCAACAGGAAATTGTCATCCTGCTTACAAACAATACTCTGATTTATACATAATAAACTTCACTACCAGAAAACTTTTACAAATAGACATCCCTAAACTTATATATATTATTCTACAATATATTCTGTGTGTCCCTAGATCTATATATATTATTCTACAATATATTCTGTGTGTCCCTAGATCTATATATATATATATTATTCTATATATACAATATATTCTGTGTGTCCCTAGATATATATATATTATTCTAACTTATATAATACATTCTGTGTGTCCCTAGACATATATATATCATTCTACAATATATTCTGTGTGTCCCTAGACTCTATATATATTATTCTACAATATATTCTGTGTGTCCCTAGACTCTATATATATAATATTCTACAATATATTGTGTGTCCCTAGACTCTATATATATTATTCTGCAATATATTCTGTGTGTCCCTAGATCTATATATATATTATTCTACAATATATTCTGTGTGTCCCTAGATCATTATATATATTATTCTACAATATATTCTGTGTGTCCCTAGATCTTATATATATATTATATTCTGTGTACTAGATCTTTAATATATTCTGTGTGTCCCTAGACTCTATATATATCATTCTACAATATATTCTGTGTGTCCCTAGATCTATATATATTATTCTACAATATATTCTGTGTGTCCCTAGATCTATATATATTATTCTACAATATATTCTGTGTGTCCCTAGATCTATATATATTATTCTACAATATATTCTGTGTGTCCCTAGATCTATATATATTATTCTACAATATATTCTGTGTGTCCCTAGATCTATATATATATTATTCTACAATATATTCTGTGTGTCCCTAGATCTATATATATTATTCTAAAATACATTCTGTGTGTCCCTAGACATACATACATCATTCTACAATATATTCTGTGTGTCCCTAGACTCTATATATATTATTCTACAATATATTCTGTGTGTCCCTAGACTCTATATATATAATATTCTACAATATATTCTGTGTCCCTAGACTCTATATATATTATTCTGCAATATATTCTGTGTGTCCCTAGATCTATATATATATTATTCTACAATATATTCTGTGTGTCCCTAGATCTTTATATATATTATTCTACAATATATTCTGTGTGTCCCTACGTCTATATATATTATTCTACAATATATTCTGTGTATCCCTAGATCTATATATATTATTCTACAATATATTCTGTGTGTCCCTAGATCTTTATATATATTATTCTACAATATATTCTGTGTGTCCCTAGACTCTATATATATCATTCTACAATATATTCTGTGTGTCCCTAGATCTATATATATTATTCTACAATATATTCTGTGTGTCCCTAGATCTATATATATATATCAATATATTCTGTGTGTCCCTAGATCTATATATATCATTCTACAATATATTCTGTGTGTCCCTAGATCTATATATATTATTCTACAATATATTCTGTGTGTCCCTAGACTCTATATATATCATTCTACAATATATTCTGTGTGTCCCTAGATATTATATATATATTATTCTACAATATATTCTGTGTGTCCCTAGACTCTATATATATTATTCTACAATATATTCTGTGTGTCCCTAGACTCTATATATATAATATTCTACAATATATTCTGTGTGTCCCTAGACTCTATATATATTATTCTACAATATATTCTGTGTGTCCCTAGACTCTATATATATAATATTCTACAATATATTCTGTGTGTCCCTAGACTCTATATATATTATTCTACAATATATTCTGTGTGTCCCTAGATCTATATATATTATTCTACAATATATTCTGTGTGTCCCTAGACTCTATATATATCATTCTACAATATATTCTGTGTGTCCCTAGATCTATATATATTATTCTACAATACATTCTGTGTGTCCCTAGATCTATATATATCATTCTACAATATATTCTGTGTGTCCCTAGTCCCTAGACTCTATATATATCATTCTACAATATATTCTGTGTGTCCCTAGACTCTATATATATCATTCTACAATATATTCTGTGTGTCCCTAGATCTATATATATATTATTCTACAATATATTCTGTGTGTCCCTAGACTCTATATATATCATTCTACAATATATTCTGTGTGTCCCTAGATCTATATATATCATTCTACAATATATTCTGTGTGTCCCTAGATCTATATATATCATTCTACAATATATTCTGTGTGTCCCTATATATATGGCTGGTTTACCTACCACTGTAGATCGCTGTAATGGTGTATGCTTTCCATTCCCTGTACGAGACAGTGACCTTGACCTTTGGTTGACTGCTGACATATTGCTAGTTGGCCTTGACCTCAGCCCTCCCACTCCTGAGTTTGGCCTGGAATTGAAGGTACTTGAAGTCCCATCATTGCTCAGTCTACTGTCTGGTCGACCAGAAGAACCGGGGCGTTTACCAGGGTGATAGCCATGCCGTCCCATGGAAGGCGAGCCAGATGCTGACATACTCTCTGTCTCTTCATCTTCCATCTCCTCATCCTCCTCATCATCATTCTCAAGGGGTGATGGGACACTCACAGGCATGCTCTGAAGTGGCTACAATGTAATATATAAACCAGAAAGATAAAACACTACCCAATATTGGTAATACATGTCTAGTGAAGAGTAGTGTCAAACAGGGAAACACCTGGAGAACCAGTCTTCTTGAAATTTTCTATTTAATTTTTTCAATATTTCCAATCACAGTCTTCGATCAAACTAGTTAATATATTGATCATATAATGCATACAATATCCTATAATTTCTGAAATAATTTAATACACAAAATGAACTCTGAAGTGAGTTTGAAAAGAGAACTAGAATTTTTGTAAAAAACACATTTTATGACGTGAATTCAATGGAAAAATATTATTAGTCATCCTTTAGTAATCCATATATAGATGTTTTAGGTATGAGAAAAAATGATGATAAGACTATCTTGTAAAAATTAATCTTCTGTAAAACCTTGGCCACAATGCTTGTTGATAAAGAAAATCAAAAATTCACAGAACATATCAGAAATGATCCTGTTGATCAGTGGAACAATATAAGACTCTTTCATATGCGTGTATGTAGGATAGGGATATTCCACCAGAGGGTCACAAAATATGGTGAAACCTGAGGCTCTGCCGAGGGTTTTACCATATTTTGTAACCCCGAGGGTGGAATATCCCTATCCTACATACACACATAATGAAAGAGTCTTTTTCTCTCATATCTTAACCAAAATTTTGGGAAAAGGACAGTCGGTCGGCCATTATCTTCATTTTTTTCATTTTTTTAATCCAAAGTTTTTATAAAAAAATAACTGGATATTCTTAATGATCATACCCATATTTTGCAAACTTTTAGTTTGCTGTAAAATTTCAAACCATTTTTCGGTATATTGCAGGATGAATATATTATTCGCAGATGAAAAAAACCAAAAATGATCTCTGTGTGATTATATAGTATGCGTAAGTAAACATCCGCGAAAAGAAATTGTTCCGTCAAATACTTCAAAGAAATCAACAAGGAATGGATTTTTATAATTCAACATATAGTTTTATCATCAAAATCACATATTTGATCATTTTAAGAAATATATCAATGTATCATTTTACTGTTTTAACATTTTTTCAAAATACTGTGACGATGACATGACGTCACCATAGTCAAAGGAATTCCATTCATAAATTCAAGGCGTGACGTCACATGATCTCCTATTCCGAGTTGCTGTTGCTCTCGATCACCACGATTCAACGACATTTGGGTGGTGGAATATTTGTGATATTTACGGGATTTGGCAATTTTCAATGTGAGAACCAGCAAACAAGGATTCGATGCAAGTTTCAGATTGTTTCTGTGATACAGGATTGTAGGTGTTAACCGTGTTTTCTTGTTGTGATGACGATGGTAAACACACTATGACATCAGATGTAGGCCTAGTAACTGTTGAAGTTGATGAAATGGTGGCAGAGGATGGTGTTCGGTTTGATGGAATTAATTCGGAGCTTTTTGTGTTTGACAACATATTGGAAATCATGTACTTCTGTCTGTCATTCAGTGTCCTGTAATTATTCAGTGACTGTGTGTTTTATGACCCGTGACATAAACCTGCAAGGTATCGGGTACATGGTTGTCGGTCATTTTTTGTACAAGGGATTTTCGGACGCTGTAAAAGTTGTCTCCCCTGAACACAGATTACTCCGCGCACATGTAAGATAGAAATTTCTTACATAGCTATCTTACATGGGCAAACTCTATCCAATATGGCGGGATATGAGAGAAAAACTTGTAATCTTCAATTAGTGAGTGATCTTTATCAGTGATATGTCTTTTAACTTTCAATGTACCATTATGATTAATGTCAAGCATTCAGAGAGGTAGAGATACACATTGATATATGCTTATGATTAAAAAAAAACATGAAAGCCAAACTTGGTCCCGCACACCTTAGCACACCTGAACAGGTAGCGACAAGGTTACAGCATTACTGATACATCTGATTAGAAACAGAAATAATAACGATGGTAAGGATAATAGCTATTGACAGTTCAATAACCATCTCCTTACATAAATCGTACATACATGTGCACTCACTTGATTAAATAAACGGTTAATACGTCGTTAATGATAACAGTATATATTTTGTTTAATTTAATCTTCAGCGATTTTCTTGTGTCCTCTCTAAAACTAACAACAAATACTGCCTTCTTATTTACATACACTATACAAGAGATTTGTGAGGGATCTTGGTGCCCACCATTGTTTGATCTTTATTTGAAAGTTGGATCTTTTCCCTTCTTTTCTCTTCTCTGTTTTAGCTCTTGTTGGTAAGAAATTTGAACATTCCTTTGCAGAAATGGTAATGAAAAATCTTTATCTGCTTAATCAAAGATGGACACCTGTAGGCCATTTCGTTTTACTGATCAGTCCCAAAATCAAACGGGCACAACTAGGGACTAAAAGGAACCTACATATGCAATTTGAGAAAGATCCATCGAAAACTTCTCAAGAAATAGTGATAACAAAAAATTGTTTATGGATGGAAACACAGATGGATGGACAGACGGATGATGTACGTAGGGCGATTTAAATGATAAGCCCACCATCTGATGATGTCTGATGATGGTGGGCTAATAAAGATATATAGGTAGAAATCCTATTCCTTTTTGAACCATCACTAAACATTGTGTGCAATATTTTGCAATATTCAGCAAAAACAATTAGAATTTTAAATGTTCATTTCTGGTTTTGTTTAATATGATTCTCTCCCTTAGAATATAATATTTATCTAAAAAATATGTTATTAATCAGGCATGCTAATGGTGTACATAAACTGTTCACATTCGAGGTAGGACATATTCCCTCCAACAATTTATTACAATAGATGGAGATACACAAAGAATGATTGATTCCTCTTTATTCACTCAATTGCTCCCTCATTATTCACTCAATTGCTCCCTCATTATTCACTCAATTGCACCCTCTTTATTCACTCAGTGGCTCCATCATTATTCACTCAATTGCTCCCTCATTATTCACTCAATTGCACCCTCTTTATTCACTCAATGTCTCCCTCTTTATTCACTCAATGGTACCCTCTTTATTCACTCAATGGCTCCCTTTTTATTCACTCAGTGGCTCCCTCATTATTCACTCAATTGCTCTCTCATTATTCACTCAATGGCTCCCTCATTATTCACTCAATTGCACCCTCTTTATTCACTCAATGGCTCCCTTTTTATTAACTCAACTGCTCCCTCTTCATTCACTTTATGGCTCCCTCTTTATTCACTCAATGGCTCCCTCTTTATTCACCCAATTGCTCCCTCATTATTCACTCAATGGCTCCCTCATTATTCATTCAATGGCTCCCTCATTATTCACTCAATTGCTCCCTCATTATTCACTCAATTGCTCCCTCATTATTCACTCAATGGCTCCCTCATTATTCACTCAGTGGCTCCCTCTTTATTCACTCAATTGCTCCCTCATTATTCACTCAATGGCTCCCTCATTATTCACTCAATTGCTCCCTCACTATTCACTCAATTGCTCCCTCATTATTCACTCAATGGCTCCCTCATTATTCACTCAATTGCTCCCTCATTATTCACTCAATTGCTCCCTCTTCACTCAATTGCACCCTCTTTATTCACTCAATGGCTCCCTTTTTATTCACTCAACTGCTCCCTCATCATTCACTCTATGGCTCCCTCTTCATTCACTCAATGGCTCCCACTTTATTCACCCAATTGCTCCCTCATTATTCACTCAATTGCTCTCTTATTATTCACTCAATTGCTCCCTCTTTATTCACTCAATGGCTCCCTCATTATTCACTCAATTGCTCCCTCATTATTCACTCAATGGCTCCCTCACTATTCACTCAATGGCTCCCTCACTATTCACTCAATGGATCCCTCTTTATTCACTCAATGGCTCCCTCTTTATTCACCCAATTGCTCCCTCATTATTCACTCAATGGCTCCCTCACTATTCACTCAATGGCTCCCTCTTTATTCACTCAATTGCTCCCTCATTATTCACTCAATTGCTCCCTCATTATTCACTCAATGGCTCCCTCACTATTCACTCAATGGCTCCCTCACTATTCACTCAATGGATCCCTCTTTATTCACTCAATGGCTCCCTCTTTATTCACCCAATTGCTCCCTCATTATTCACTCAATGGCTCCCTCACTATTCACTCAATGGCTCCCTCTTTATTCACTCAATGGCTCCCTCTTTATTCACTCAATTGCTCCCTCATTATTCACTCAATGGCTCCCTCATTATTCACTCAATGGCTCCCTCATTCACTCAGTAGCACTCTTATTATTAATTAAATTGCTCTCTCATTATACTCTCAAAGGAAGTTGCAATTCTTCTTTTAAAAGTCTGTCTCCATACTAGATTCTACATTAAGTTTGTAAAGCATAATATTGGTAAAAACCAATTATATCACATTTTTTCCCGTGGGATCAGGACATTAGGGAACAGGGAACATTTTACATAAGTTATGATGATAATGAATCAGAGTGTAATGTGATTCCAACCTACTGACTATCCAAGTTGTATGTAGAATATAGATCCAATATATATATATATATAGATATACATCAGTGCCATGCAGTCTAAAATATCTAACTACTATTAAACATGAAGGCAACACAAAGACCAGAAACCAATCTGATTATTAGGCATACTATCAGTAATAAAATCAAGAAACTGAAAATTAATCATTAATGTTGCTTAGAAAAACTAAAAACATTAATTAGCTGCTTCAATATCACAATGCACAGGAAGACATCACAGAATTTCACTAAATAAGCGAGGGAAGACATATTGTAAAATTAACATTCTAAGATCACTGTTAACTATCTATATATAGATTTATTATTGTTTCAACAACCCTAAGGACACCTCCATATCTATAAATTTAAATTTAAACAAAGATTGTACTGACCTCTTTTTTACACACTTTGTGTGTTGGAGATGAAGAAATCTTGTTTTATGATATGTCCACATATTTAAGGTAGGTGAAACAGGATGATGAAATATGGGAGAAGTTTTCACAATTAAGATACGCTGGTGGTCAGTGAGCAACGATGTATGATCCAGTCATGGTGTTACGAACTCGCTTTAAATGTGGTCAATGATCTAGTGGTAAGCTACCAGGTAGGTCTACTGGTTAAGTTTGAAATTTAAGTTATTTCTACCTTTAGCTTGTTAAAACTGGTCAGTACCCCTTGTAACCTCACATCAGGGTTTCATCACCTAATCAGTGTTGTTTTAATGGAATCTGTTATTAAATATATGTTTTAATTCAGGTTTCCACAAACATCCAAATTTCCTGAATTTACATACATCTGGTCATAACTCTATCACTGAATGGAAAAGCATTCTAAGAAAACAAGCCCACCAATCTTATCCAAAAAATTAAGTTTAAAGACAGTGCTTCTATCCAGGCCGGCAAGAGTGATTAACACAATCTGAATTAGCTTAATTGTTGTAAAATTGAAGAAAGTTTAAAGTTTATAGATGTCTGTAACTTCAATAACATAATAGTATCAAGATTTGAAGTGTTTACCGCCTTACAAAAACAAAAAGTAAAACTTTTACTCAATCATCAATATGTTTTCACTCGCTGAAATGTGAGACCCGATAGCTCTGCCCATGCAGTGATGTGTTAACGCTGTTAATACATGCTGGAGGTTACCTTGCTGTGATTATAATGAAACTTTCCTGTGGTGTTATATGGAGGCTGTAAGAGAGGACAACTAGTTAATCAATGTCACTAAAGTAAGCCTGCATTTACGTTAATCTAAAACTTCTCAAACTACGATTTCAAAGATTAGCAGAGTTACTGTGCGATATTGAAAACTTTCATGAGCTGATGGGAGGATACGATCACGCAGTTCCCACTAAATCAGTATATCTTGTTTACACTAAATCAGTACATCTTGTTTACACTAAATCAGTATATTTTGTTTACACTAAATCAGTATATTTTGTTTACACTAAATCGGTACATCTTGTTTACACTAAATCAGTATATCTTGTTTACACTAAATCAGTACATCTTGTTTACACTAAATCAGTACATCTTGTTTACACTAAATCAGTATATCTTGTTTACACTTAATCAGTATATTTTGTTTACACTTAATCAGTATATTTTGTTTACACTAAATCAGTACATCTTGTTTACACTAAATCAGTTTTTATTTTGTTTACACTTAATCAGTATATCTTGTTTACACTAAATCAGTAGATGTTTACACTAAATCAGTACATCTTGTTTACACTAAATCAGTATATTTTGTTTACACTAAATCAGTACATCTTGTTTACACTTAATCAGTATATCTTGTTTACACTAAATCAGTACATCTTGTTTACACTAAATCAGTACATCTTGTTTACACTAAATCAGTAGATGTTTACACTAAATCAGTATATCTTGTTTACACTAAATCAGTATATCTTGTTTACACTAAATCAGTATATGTTGTTTACACTAAATCAGTATATCTTGTTTACACTAAATCAGTAAATCTTGTTTACACTAAATCAGTATATCTTGTTTACACTAAATCAGTATATCTTGTTTACACTAAATCAGTATATTTTGTTTACACTAAATCAGTACATCTTGTTTACACTAAATCAGTATATCTTGTTTACACTAAATCAGTACATCTTGTTTACACTAAATCAGTATATCTTGTTTACACTAAATCAGTAGATGTTTACACTAAATCAGTATATCTTGTTTACACTAAATCAGTATATGTTGTTTACACTAAATCAGTACATCTTGTTTACACTAAATCAGTATATTTTGTTTACACTAAATCAGTATATCTTGTTTACACTAAATCAGTATATCTTGTTTACACTAAATCAGTATATGTTGTTTACACTAAATCAGTATATCTTGTTTACACTAAATCAGTATATCTTGTTTACACTAAATCAGTATATCTTGTTTACACTAAATCAGTATATCTTGTTTACACTAAATCAGTACATCTTATTTACACTAAATCAGTATATGTTGTTTACACTAAATCAGTATATTTTGTTTACACTAAATCAGTACATCTTGTTTACACTAAATCAGTATATTTTGTTTACACTAAATCAGTATGTTTACACTAAATTTTGTTTACACTAAATCAGTATATCTTGTTTACACTAAATCAGTATTTTTTGTTTACACTTAATCAGTACATCTTGTTTACACTAAATCAGTATATGTTGTTTACACTAAATCAGTACATCTTGTTTACACTAAATCAGTATATCTTGTTTACACTAAATCAGTATATCTTGTTTACACTAAATCAGTATATCTTGTTTACACTAAATCAGTACATCTTGTTTACACTAAATCAGTATATCTTGTTTACACTAAATCAGTATATTTTGTTTACACTAAATCAGTATATCTTGTTTACACTAAATCAGTATATTTTGTTTACACTAAAATCAGTACTAAATCTTGTTTACACTAAATCAGTATATCTTGTTTACACTAAATCAGTACATCTTGTTTACACTAAATCAGTATATCTTGTTTACACTAAATCAGTATATCTTGTTTACACTAAATCAGTATATTTTGTTTACACTAAATCAGTACACTAAATCAGTATATCTTGTTTACACTAAATCAGTATATCTTGTTTACACTAAATCAGTATATCTTGTTTACACTAAATCAGTACATCTTGTTTACACTAAATCAGTATATCTTGTTTACACTAAATCAGTATATCTTGTTTACACTAAATCAGTAATCTTGTTTACACTAAATCAGTATATTTTGTTTACACTAAATCAGTATATTTTGTTTACACTAAATCAGTAATCTTGTTTACTAAATCAGTATATTTTGTTTACACTAAATCAGTATATCTTGTTTACACTAAATCAGTATATCTTGTTTACACTAAATCAGTATATCTTGTTTACACTAAATCAGTATATCTTGTTTACACTAAATCAGTATATCTTGTTTACACTAAATCAGTATATCTTGTTTACACTAAATCAGTATATCTTGTTTACACTAAATCAGTATATCTTGTTTACACTAAATCAGTATATTTTGTTTACACTAAATCAGTATATTTTGTTTACACTAAATCAGTATATTTTGTTTACACTAAATCAGTACATCTTGTTTACACTAAATCAGTATATTTTGTTTACACTAAATCAGTATATTTTGTTTACACTAAATCAGTATATCTTGTTTACACTAAATCTAAATCAGTATATCTTGTTTACACTAAATCAGTTACATCTTGTTTACACTAAATCAGTATATTTTGTTTACACTAAATCAGTATATCTTGTTTACACTAAATCAGTATATTTTGTTTACACTAAATCAGTAAATCAGTATATCTTGTTTACACTAAATCAGTACATCTTGTTTACACTAAATAGTATTTTGTTTACACTAAATCAGTACATCTTGTTTACACTAAATCAGTATATCTTGTTTACACTAAATCAGTACATCTTATTTACACTAAATCAGTATATGTTGTTTCCACTAAATCAGTATATTTTGTTTACACTAAATCAGTACATAAATCAGTACATCTTGTTTACACTAAATCAGTATATCTTGTTTACACTAAATCAGTATATCTTGTTTACACTAAATCAGTATATCTTGTTTACACTAAATCAGTATATTTTGTTTACACTAAATCAGTATATCTTGTTTACACTAAATCAGTATATATTTGTTTACACTAAATCAGTATATCTTGTTTACACTAAATCAGTATATTTTGTTTACACTAAATCAGTATATTTTGTTTACACTTAATCAGTACATATTGTTTACTCTAAATATATTGTTTTTTTATTAATTAACATATATTCTAGAAGAATTTGTCTACTTTTTTGTATTCATTGTCAATTTGTGATGAAGTTGAAGACTACATGTTAGGTATAACATAACTGCAGTAAAATGATAGTTAGTCAACAGTTTCTGCATGATCAAAACTCAATGGTGGTGACTTGGTTATCATGATGAAGGTGCTGTTTCATCATGTAAACATGCATTGATTTGCTCTGTTTATATATCTGGTCAAAGATTTCAAATGATGGTTAATTTTGTCAAAACACAGGGAAAAATCAGTATCTATCATACAATGTTTTAAAACATCTTTGTCCACTATAAAATGATTTAGGATCTTTGTCCACTATAAAATGATTTAGGATTTTCTATAAATGCTTATCTGCAATAATATAATTTTCTATTAATCTCCATAAATGTTTGTCTATATATCATAATAGGATAAAGGATGCTCTATAAATCTGTGTCTACTGTAACATGATTTAGGATGCTTTATAAATCTGTGTCTACTGTAACATGATTTAGGATGCTTTATAAATCTGTGTCTACTGTAACATGATTTAGGATGCTCTATAAATCTGTGTCTACTGTAACATGATTTAGGATGCTCTATAAATCTGTGTTTACTGTAACATGATTTAGGATGCTCTATAAATCCGTGTTTACTGTAACATGATTTAGGATGCTCTATAAATCTGTGTCTACTGTAACACGGACACGAGTTAGGATGCTCTATAAATATATCCATGTTAACATTATTTAGGATTTCTAGTGCTAAATAGATAGGAAAATATAAGATACATAGCTGGGTGCATTAAATATTCTTTATTAGCTACTTGTATCTAAACCCTGGTATAGACACTAGTGACAGGTAGAGAGTGACTAACCCCTGGTATATACACTACTGACAGGTAGAGAGTGACTAACCCCTGGTATAGACACTAGTGACAGGTAGAGAGTGACTAACCCCTGGTATATACACTACTGACAGGTAGAGAGTGACTAACCCCTGGTATAGACACTAGTGACAGGTAGAGAGTGACTAACCCCTGGTATATACACTACTGACAGGTAGAGAGTGACTAACCCCTGGTATAGACACTACTGACAGGTAGAGAGTGACTAACCCCTGGTATAGACACTACTGACAGGTAGAGAGTGACTAACCCCTGGTATAGACACTACTGACAGGTAGAGAGTGACTAACCCCCGGTATAGACACTACTGACAGGTAGAGAGTGACTAACCCCTGGTATATGGTAGAGATTGACTAACTCCTAGTATAGACACTACTGACAGGTAGAGAGTGACTAACCCCTGGTATAGACACTACTGACAGGTAGAGAGTGACTAACCCCTGGTATCAGGTAGAGAGTGACTAACCCCTAGTATAGACACTACTGACAGGTAGAGAGTGACTAACCCCTGGTATAGACACTTCTGACAGGTAGAGAGTGACTAACCCCTGGTATAGACACTACTGACAGGTAGAGAGTGACTAAACCCTGGTTAAGACACTAGTGACAGGTAGAGAGTGACTAACCCCTGGTATAAACACTACTGACAGGTAGAGAGTGACTTACCCCTGGTATAGACACTACTGACAGGTAGAGAGTGACTAACCCCTGGTATAGACACAACTGACAGGTAGAGAGTGACTAACCCCTGGTATAGACACAACTGACAGGTAGAGAGTGACTAACCCTTGGTATAGACACTACTGACAGGTACACAGGTAGAGAGTGACTTACCCCCGGTATAGACACTACTGACAGGTAGAGAGTGACTAACCTCCGGTATAGACACTACTGACAGGTAGAGAGTGACTAATCCCTGGTATAGACACAACTGACAGGTAGAGAGTGACTAACCCCTGGTATAGACACAACTGACAGGTAGAGAGTGACTAACCCCTGGTATAGACACTACTGACAGGTAGAGAGTGACTAACCCTTGGTATAGACACTACTGACAGGTACTCAGGTAGAGAGTGACTTACCCCCGGTATAGACAATACTGACAGGTAGAGAGTGACTAACCCCCGGTATAGACACTATTGACAGGTAGAGAGTGACTAATCCCTGGTATAGACAATACTGACAGGTAGAGAGTGACTTACCCCTGGTATAGACACTACTGACAGGTAGAGAGTGACTAACCTTGGTATAGACACTACTGACAGGAACACACGTAGAGAGTGACTAACCCCTGGTATATACACTACTGACAGGTAGAGAGTGACTAACCCCCGGTATAGACACTATTGACAGGTAGAGAGTGACTAATCCCTGGTATAGACAATACTGACAGGTAGAGAGTGACTAACCCCTGGTATAGACACTATTGACAGGTAGAGAGTGACTAATCCCTGGTATAGACAATACTGACAGGTAGAGAGTGACCAACCCCTGGTATAGACACTATTGACAGGTAGAGAGTGACTAATCCCTGGTATAGACACTACTGACAGGTAGAGAGTGACTAACCCCTGGTATAGACACTATTGACAGGTAGAGAGTGACTAACCCCTGGTATAGACACTATTGACAGGTAGAGAGTGACTAACCCCTGGTATAGACACTATTGACAGGTAGAGAGTGACTAACCCCTGGTATAGACACTATTGACAGGTACACAGGTAGAAGCCTAAGTCCTCTCAATGAACACCCCCCAATCCCCACCTCTAGCTACAATACTGGTACATGATGAATGATTAAAATATCCATGTTTTAATGAAATGTTTAAGGGGAGACCATAACAATATGACAGTATAACCCTTGAGACTAAAGCGTACCTTGGGACCTCTAGGTTTACCAGTGCCTCCTGTGTAATATTTTCCTTCTTTCTCATCAGCTTCACATTCTGCCAACATGTCCATGACATCCACCTCCTGAAACAGATATATTTCAAACTCAGGACTTCTGTGGAAACATTAATGTATATAGTATAACAACGTTGGAACACAGCAATACAAAATAGCATTACTATGTTCTGTCCATTATTCCAGTATTTCTGATGATACTTCAAGTCAGGTTGCGCCTTTAAAATTATTTCCCCACCATCCCCAATGCCCCTCTTTATATAACTTCTAGGGATTGTCTCCTGTTGTGTTTCTGAAATTCCCCTCCCCTCTTTATATTACTTCTAGGGATTGTCTCCTGTTGTGTTTCTGAAATTCCCCACTCCCTCTTTCTATAACTTCTAGGGATTGTCTCCTGTTGTGTTTCTGAAATTCCCCACCCCCTCTTTATATAACTTCTAGGGATTGCCTCCCTTAATGTACTGTCAGTCCTTTTAAAGCATTTTAAATATTTTAAACAGAAATTGTATAGACCAATTCAAGGTTTGCTATTTAAGTGTGTTTCTACCAGCTGGAGACTTTGAGTGATAATTCAAGTTCCATTACATTAAATTGATTTTGATAAACTTTGTTGACAAGTTTCTATAAATGGCAATTGATGTTCCATACCTTCAACTTATTGTTATACACCCTCTGGATTTCTTTCTGCATGGCTGGTGCTTTGCCCGACATAAAAATTCCAAATGTTGAGGAAAGCAATTGAACATATCGTTCATGCCTTACTTTGTCATCTGGAGGGAAGATTCGTCGGAATCGACCACGATTTCTATTCTCATAGTCCTCTCTAGCAGATACCTTCCTTATTCTGGCCAGTGTTTCTTTCTGTGAATTATCAACAAATATTTCTTTACTATATCCACATCAGGAAAAAATACAAAATAGCACACTATTTATAAAAAGTATTATCATCATATAATACTTTCAAATTCATTAGATTACTGTCACAGATGACTCAAAGTTATCACATCGATTAACACAGGCATAATTCTGTTTAAAACATATAGAATAATATATTAGACTGTACAGAATATGATTTATCTGAAGTAGGTATTTCTGAAATGATCACATGTATCTTTTAGGCTGTAGTAAATATTCACTGTCCTGAAAAAAAAATCAAAAATTTTTCTCTTGCTTATATATTCAAACCTGATCCTTCATCATTGACAGTCATCCTATGTTCGATCAAACCTGATCCTTTAACATTGACAGTCATCCTATGTTTGATCAAAATCCTTCATCATTGACAGTCATCTTATGTTTGATCAAACCTGATCCTTTATCATTGACCATCATCCTATGTTTGATCAAACCTGATCCTTAATCATTGACCATCATCCTATCCTTTATCAAACCTGATCCTTTATCAAATTGACCATCATCCTATGTTTGATCAAACCTGATCCTTTAACATTGACTTAATCATTGACCATCATCCTATGTTTGATCAAAACCTGATCCTTTATCATTGACCATCATCCTATGTTTGATCAAACCTGATCCTTATCCTTTATCATTCATCCTATGTTTGATCAAACCTGATCATCCTATCTTCGATCAAACCTGATCCTTTAACATTGACAGTCATCCTATGTTTGATCAAACCTGATCCTTTAACATTGACAGTCATCCTATGTTTGATCAAACCTGATCCTTTAACATTGACAGTCATCCTATGTTTGATCAAAATCCTTCATCATTGACAGTCATCCTATGTTTGATCAAACCTGATCCTTTATCATTGACCATCATCCTATGTTTGATCAAACCTGATCCTTAATCATTGACCATCATCCTATCTTCGATCAAACCTGATCCTTTATCATTGACCATCATCCTATGTTTGATCAAACCTGATCCTTAATCATTGACCATCATCCTATCTTCGATCAAACCTGATCCTTTAACATTGACAGTCATCCTATGTTTGATCAAACCTGATCCTTTATCATTGACCATCCTCCTATGTTTGATCAAACCTGATCCTTTATCACTGACCATCATCCTATGTTTGATCAAACCTGATCCTTTATCACTGACCATCATCCTATGTTTAGTATACCTCTTTTGTCCGATCTCATCCAAACTTACCAGTTCTTCTTTCCGTTTCTCTATACTCTGTCGCTTTTTTTCATACTCTGTTATATCTGGTCCATCTGTTCGCTTATTTTGTCGGAACAGCCTCTTTCTGGCTTCTGCTTTTTGGGCGGCCATATTTCTGCTTTTGTCACTAATTCTAAATTAGAAAATGTATACTTACTACAAGAACCAATGTAAGTTTTCTACAAGCTGTAACCATTAGTAACATCTGTGGTGTTTTATAATAATTCCTTGGACTTACTTCCCCATATGACGTTACTCATTTATACAGCTGCGCACATGGTAACAATATAACAGTAAATTCAGTAATTCACATGAGCCTACCTATCCTCTAAGTCAATTCCTTATCATTTCATACACTATATACATCAGCTAGTACGATCCCCACTGGTCATTTTCTGACAAAGGTGACTGTGTTGTCATGAAAACATTACCCTCCAATCTTCTACTGGTTGTGTTATAAGATGAAGGTGACCGTGTTGTCATTGAAACATTACCCTCTAATCTTCTACTAGTTGTGTTATAAGAACTTCTATACTATCCACTAATTTGTTGTGATATATATATATATATATATATAAATCTATTTTGCGTAATGGATTAACAACATGAAAATGTCTCTCAATACCCACTGATTATATAAGTATTGGTTCTGACATGGTCATTCTAATATAGGTCACTGTAACATAAAACTTCCACAACATAGATCTCCATCTCTGTTTTAATTCATTCAAAAGTGAGATGTGATGCTGTCCAAAGTGTGTACTGGTTTTGGCTTGTTGCTACTAACTTACTTGATATTGAGCAATCTGATGGTGTCTTCAATCAAGGCTGACTTGATATCATAGTCCACTCTCTCATCAGTCCCAAAGCTAGGAGAACGATTTACCTGTGACATCAATAGATACTGTTAGGAGTATGTGTAATTAGGGCAACATTTCACCTGTGACATCAACAGACTTCAGACTGACCTGAGTCAATCTAGTGCCTCATCTCCTATTTCCAGACTAACTTGAGTCAATCTTGTGCCTGAATTCCTATTTCCAGACTAACCTGAGTCAATCTAGTGCCTCATCTCCTATTTCCAGACTGACCTGAGTCAGTCTTGTGCCTGAATTCCTATTTCCAGACTGACCTGAGTCAATCTAGTGCCTCATCTCCTATTTCCAGACTGACCTGAGTCAATCTAGTGCCTCATCTCCTTTTTCCAGACTGACTTGAGTCAATCTTGTGCCTCATCTCCTATTTCCAGACTGACCTGAGTCAATCTAGTGCCTCATCTCCTATTTCCAGACTGACCTGAGTCAATCTAGTGCCTGAATTCCTATTTCCAGACTGACCTGAGTCAATCTAGTGCCTCATCTCCTATTTCCAGACTGACCTGAGTCAATCTAGTGCCTCATCTCCTATTTCCAGACTGACCTGAGTCAATCTTGTGTCTGAATTCCTATTTCCAGACTGACCTGAGTCAATCTTGTGTCCTCATCTCCTAGTCAATCTAGTGCCTCATCTCCTATTTCCAGACTGACCTGAGTCAATCTAGTGCCTCATCTCCTATTTCCAGACTGACCTGAGTCAATCTTGTGTCTGAATTCCTATTTCCAGACTGACCTGAGTCAATCTTGTGTCTGAATTCCTATTTCCAGACTGACCTGAGTCAATCTTGTGCCTGAATTCCTATTTCCAGACTGACCTGAGTCAATCTAGTGCCTGAATTCCTATTTCCAGACTGACCTGAGTCAATCTAGTGCCTCATCTCCTATTTCCAGACTGACCTGAGTCAATCTAGTGCCTCATCTCCTATTTCCAGACTGACCTGAGTCAATCTAGTGCCTCATCTCCTATTTCCAGACTGACCTGAGTCAATCTAGTGCCTGAATTCCTATTTCCAGACTGACCTGAGTCAGTCTTGTGCCTGAATTCCTATTTCCAGACTGACCTGAGTCAATCTAGTGCCTGAATTCCTATTTCCAGACTGACCTGAGTCAGTCTTGTGCCTGAATTCCTATTTCCAGACTGACCTGAGTCAATCTAGTGCCTCATCTCCTATTTTGACCTGAGTCAATCTAGTGCCTCATCTCCCTGAGTCAATCTAGTGCCTCATCTCCTATTTCCAGACTGACCTGAGTCAGTCTTGTGCCTGAATTCCTATTTCCAGACTGACTTGAGTCAATCTCAAGCCTGACTAATCATTTTACTGATGCTAAATAAATAAGTGACATCTTTAACTCCTATTTCACAAATATTTCTAAACAATTTGTAGAAAATTCTGATAACAGTGACCCCTCAATTATGTTACAAAATGTCTGTAAGTTTGCTACAGGGAGACTTTGTGGGGATTCATTTACCATACCATTGATGGATGTCTCGTTTGTTGTAAAATATTTGAAGGGGCTCGACTGTAAATCTGCTACAGGTTTAGATAAAATCAGTGCTTTATTCTTAAAATATTGTGCTGATAGTGTAGCACTGCCTTTGTGCAAAATTATGAATTATTGCATTGAGATGCGTACTTTTCCTTAGGGTTGGAAAAATGCTAGAGTATGTCCTTTATTTTAAAAAGGTGATAAGGAACTAGTTTCAAATTATAGACCGATTTCGGTGCTTCCAGTTATATCAAAATGTCTTGAGAAACATGTACATAAGAGTCTTTACTACTTCTTCACAGAACACAATCTGCTACTAGAAAATCAATCTGGTTTCAGACCATCTCGTAATATTTTTAGAATGTTAAACTGGTTACCCTTTTCCAAACGTGTTGAATATAATCAGTCTATACTGATGTACAAAGTCCCACATGGTTTGGCTCCCCAGTATCTTAATCATTTTAAACTTAGTTCTGATGTTCAGGCAAGACAAACAAGATCCTCATCCAGTAGTGTATTTTACTTACCTTCATTTAAAACTAATATATTTAAAAATTCTTTTACTTACCAGGGTCCATACACATGGAATATTTTACCTGATCATGTCAGAAATTCTACTTCACTATTATCTTTTAAACAAAGTTCAAAGAAAATTTTTGATTGAATCCACATAATTTTCCATATATGTTTTATTCGCTTATATTACTCTCAGTTTTATGGTTTTGAATCTTTTATGTACATTTTGTAAATATTGTATATTTTTTTAGTAAACCCTTGACCAAATTGTAATAAGAGTCATTGACTCAAATTTGTTATCAAGTATAAATAAAGACTATTATTATTAATATACAGAGATCATTGTAATGTGTATTCATCATATGAACCATCTATCCGTTATTTTACTTTTATAATCAAAGGTATACTTACTTCTAGCAGCCAGGGTCGTAGCTTTCTGTCAATCAACACATCAAATCCTAGCACCTCAAAGCACACACTATCACTTCCCGGTGCAGCTCCAGGACGACACATCCGGTAGGCATGCAATAGATGTGGCTCTGACACGATCAAAGTCTTCACAATCATATCACCAATGCTTTGCCACAGAAGCCCATCATTGATGTCATTTTGTCTCAAATATTCCCGGAAGAACTGAACGGAACGTTTACTCCCAGAACTGAGAGATTCCCCTTTCTCATAAAATTCATTATGCTTGTTCACCGAATAATTTGTTAAATGCATAAATGAATGGCTCTGAAACAGAAATACATCATGTAAGTTGTTATTTATCTGATGAGAGACATAGATCAATAATTCATCCCTATCTTAAATAAAGAAGTCGGATCATCTGATCACACCTTCCTCGATACTCCAGGGGTAACAATCACTTTTGTTCTCTGCACCCCTGTAGGCGACACCTTGTCAACAAGATGTTTCTGTAAGTGACACCTTGTAAACAAGATGTTTCTGTATGCAAAAGCTTGTGAACAAGATGTTTCTGTATGCAAAAGCTTGTGAACAAGATGTTTCTGTATGCGACACCTTGTCAACAAGATGTTTCTGTAAGTGACACCTTGTCAACAAGATGTTTCTATAAGTGACACCTTGTAAACAAGATGTTTCTGTATGCAAAAGCTTGTGCACAAGATGTTTCTGTATGCGACACCTTGTGAACAAGGTGTTTCTGTATGCGACACCTTGTCAACAAGATGTTTCTGTATGTGACATCTTGTGAACAAGATGTTTCTCTATGTAACACCTTATGAACAAGATGTTTCTGTATGTGACACCTTGTGAACAAGATGAAAAGACTAGTCTGATCCTTGTACTCCTTTGTAATTTTCCAAATGTGCATATTAGGCTGTGATTTGTCATTCTTTTTCTCCTTGAACCAATGAAATAACTTCACTTGTGCCTTTGATTTTGCCATGACATGTTCAAGGGGTGCAGAGAGTATCGAGGTTGTTTTCAACTTTACCCATCTGTTCCATCCCTATTTCCCTTGTTAGATGTGGCCTAAAAATGTGTGATGACAAAATAATCAATATTCAGAATCCATCAGAATTTAACAATTGCTTCACATTAGTTGATAAATACTCACAATGTTGGCTTCAGTCGGTGCCAGGTACTTTTCAGTACTGAGCCTGACAAGTCCATCGTCAAACAGAAACACTCTGAGCGGGTCACATGAGGTCACCAGCACATACAGGCGGAGGTCGAACTTGTAGCCATCCATCAACAGTGGTTTGTCTATGTATTCTTGTACTATAAAATGTTCTGATTGAGGGATTTTCTCTGCATTTCTAAACAGTTGAATTCTGAAAAAATAAAAATTGTTACACTGTCAGAAATCAGATTTTAAACAGAAAATATCTTTTATAAAAATGTAGGTGAATGCCAGGATTAACCTTTTCTATGACACTGTTACACACCTGTCTGTTATCTAACCAGCATGTTGTAATTTTTTGAGATTCAGTTTTGTATTTATCTGTGACCTTGAGTTCCACTAGCAGGTTTGAGTCCAGTACTTACCCATGTCCCTGAGCTCCATTACAAGGTTTGAGTCCAGTACTTACCCATGTCCCGGAGCTCCATTACAAGGTTTGAGTCCAGTACTTACCCATGTCCCTGAGCTCCATTACAAGGTTTGAATCCAGTACTTACCCATGTCCCTGAGCTCCATTACAAGGTTTGAGTCCAGTACTTACCCATGTCCCTGAGCTCCATTACAAGGTTTGAGTCCAGTACTTACCCATGTCCCCGAGCTCCATTACAAGGTTTGAGTCCAGTACTTACCGATGTCCCTGAGCTCCATTACAAGGTTTGAGTCCAGTACTTACCCATGTCCCGGAGCTCCATTACAAGGTTTGAGTCCAGTACTTACCGATGTCCCTGAGCTCCATTACAAGGTTTGAGTCCAGTACTTACCGATGTCCCTGAGCTCCATTACAAGGTTTGAATCCAGCACTTACCCATGTCCCTGAGCTCCATTACAAGGTTTGAGTCCAGTACTTACCCATGTCCCTGAGCTCCATTACAAGGTTTGAACTCCATTACAAGTCCAGTACTTACCCATGTCCCTGAGCTCCATTACAAGGTTTGAATCCAGCACTTACCCATGTCCCTGAGCTCCATTACAAGGTTTGAGTCCAGTACTTACCCATGTCCCTGAACTCCATTACAAGGTTTGAGTCCAGTACTTACCCATGTCCCTGAGCTCCATTCGATGGTTTAATAATGAATGTTTTTGTTTTTTTCTTTGCACGTAGGTCTTTGGCGTAGTTTAGTAGAAGGCTATGATCAGCCGGGAGAATCCAGGTTTTTGGGGCAAAGGAGAAATCCTCTGGTAGCTGTTTCTGAACTCTGGAAATGAACAGGTCATTAATTTAACACAGAAACTAACAAGCTGTATGGAATTAATGGTAAATGTATGGGCAATAAGTTTTAGAATAATGACTGCAACGACTTTATTTTACGTTTACTAAGTAAACCAATGCCTAACCACAAGTATAGACCTAGGAAAATGTGTTTATTAACTGAAAATCCAGTGAACAGGTTTAAAGGCTTGTAAGATGAAAACTCATGACATCATCACTACCTATCTATAATTTGTGGAAACCGTGTTTTGTATTCTTGTCATGTTTGTAGTAAGGAAACCTTATGAACAGAATATCTGTTTTTTGTTCTCATGTCATGTGACCAAAGGCATCCCCGTACAGCATAATAACTGTATGTTCTATGTCAAATGTGTATGATACAGAAATAAACCTAAAACATTAGGCAAGGAAATCAGGACAATAAAACTGCAACAGTCAATACATTGATAAATAGAAGACTCGAGGGCCGGCTTAGTAATGTGGCTGTATCCAACGATTTTAATCATCTCACTATTAATAATTCATAGCCAACCTATACAGAATTTAGCACCAGAGATCACCACACTGCTGTGCTTTCTGATAACAACTTCAAACAAGAGCTTCTACAATATATAGTTTAACAAAGGCAGCCAATGACAGACTTGACCACTTGTATTAGGCTGGGTAGAGTTACACAGAAGCCTGAAGCAATTCTATTGTAAATTCAGTGGTAGGTTGATATGGGAGGGACATTAACGTACTTATGTAAACTTTCATGATGATACAATTCACCTTTTTTCAGCAAAGAGAGACTTTAAAAGACTCTACACTATGATCTGTTACTTACAGCCTGTAATTATAATGTAAAGACCCTACACCATGATCTGTTACTTACAGCCTGTAATTATAATGTAAAGTCCCTACACTATATGTTACTTACAGCCTGTAATTATAATGTAAAGACCCTACACTATGATCTGTTACTTACAGCCTTTAATTATAATGTAAAATCCCTACACTATCTGTTACTTACAGCCTGTAATTATAATGTAAAGACCCTACACTATATGTTACTTACAGCCTGTAATTATAATGTAAATACCCTACACTATGATCTGTTACTTACAGCCTGTAATTATAATGTAAAGACCCTACACTATGATCTGTTACTTACAGCCTGTAATTATAATGTAAAGTCCCTACACTATATGTTACTTACAGCCTGTAATTATAATGTAAAGACCCTACACTATGATCTGTTACTTACAGCCTTTAATTATAATGTAAAATCCCTACACTATCTGTTACTTACAGCCTGTAATTATAATGTAAAGACCCTACACTATATGTTACTTACAGCCTGTAATTATAATGTAAAGACCCTACACTATGATCTGTTACTTACAGCCTGTAATTATAATGTAAAGACCCTACACTATGATCTGTTACTTACAGCCTGTAATTATAATGTAAAGACCCTACACTATATGTTACTTACAGCCTGTAATTATAATGTAAAGACCCTACACTATGATCTGTTACTTACAGCCTGTAATTATAATGTAAAGACCCTACACTATGATCTGTTACTTACAGCCTGTAATTATAATGTAAAGACCCTACACTATATGTTACTTACAGCCTGTAATTATAATGTAAAGACCCTACACTATGATCTGTTACTTACAGCCTGTAATTATAATGTAAAGTCCCTACACTATATGTTACTTACAGCCTGTAATTATAATGTAAAGTCCCTACACAATGACCTGTTACTTACAGCCTGTAATTATAATGTAAATGATTCCAACACAATGAAGGGCCCTATTTGTTTGCTCCTTTTAATCAATGTTTAGAACTGCAGGAGTAACAAAACTAAACATGATAAAACAGTACTGATGAGAAAAAAAAACTGTTATAAGGTCACTGGATGTTGTTTGGTATATACATTGTAATGTTCATTACTTAGCCATATTGCGGGCTAGACAGTCCTTGCGTGTGATTTCTCCCATGCCAGGGAAATGGTTTATCCTTTGGAAAGATTTCATCTCTGAGATCCGATCCGTAGCAACAAAGCAGTCATTCCAAAACAGATAACTGTGGAAAGAAAAGCACGCTTTTTTTTAGTATAGATAAACAAGTCATAAATTTAACCTTTATCTAAAACGATAACTGTAGACAGAATTATACAGCTTATAAGGTTAGATAACTGTAGACAGAATTATAGAGCTTATAAGGTTAGATAACTGTAGACAGAATCCTAGTGCTGATAAGGTTAGATAACTGTAGACAGAATCCTAGTGCTTATAAGGTTAGATAACTGTGGACAGAATTATACAGCTTATAAGGTTAGATAACTGTAGACAGAATCCTAGTGCTGATAAGGTTAGATAACTGTAGACAGAATTATACAGCTTATAAGGTTAGATAACTGTGGACAGAATTATACAGCTTATAAGGTTAGATAACTGTAGACAGAATCCTAGTGCTTATAAGGTTAGATAACTGTAGACAGAATTATACAGCTTATAAGGTTAGATAACTGTAGACAGAATCCTAGTGCTTATAAGGTTAGATAACTGTAGACAGAATTATAGTGCTTATAAGGTTAGATAACTGTAGACAGAATTATACAGCTTATAAGGTTAGATAACTGTAGACAGAATCCTAGTGCTTATAAGGTTAGATAACTGTAGACAGAATTATACAGCTTATAAGGTTAGATAACTGTAGACAGAATCCTAGAGCTTATAAGGTTAGATAACTGTAGACAGAATCCTAGTGCTTATAAGGTTAGATAACTGTAGACAGAATCCTAGTGCTTATAAGGTTAGATAACTGTAGACAGAATTATACAGCTTATAAGGTTAGATAACTGTGGACAGAATTATACAGCTTATAAGGTTAGATAACTGTAGACAGAATCCTAGTGCTTATAAGGTTAGATAACTGTAGACAGAATTATACAGCTTATAAGGTTAGATAACTGTAGACAGAATCCTAGTGCTTATAAGGTTAGATAACTGTAGACAGAATCCTAGTGCTTATAAGGTTAGATAACTGTAGACAGAATCCTAGTGCTTATAAGGTTAGATAACTGTAGACAGAATTATACAGCTTATAAGGTTAGATAACTGTAGACAGAATTATACAGCTTATAAGGTTAGATAACTGTAGACAGAATCCTAGTGCTTATAAGGTTAGATAACTGTAGACAGAATTATACAGCTTATAAGGTTAGATAACTGTAGACAGAATCCTAGTGCTTATAAGGTTAGATAACTGTAGACAGAATTATAGAGCTTATAAGGTTAGATAACTGTAGACAGAATCCTAGTGCTTATAAGGTTAGATAACTGTAGACAGAACTAGACCAATGTCGAGGAAGGGCCCCGCATAATACCTACCCCTTATGATTGAGTTTCTTAATATTAAGAAATATATGGACAGGTGTCAAGTATTGAAAGCAACTTTCATCAAAATCCAATGAAAATGGACAGATGGACAGATATATGGATCAACGGACAGGGAAACGGACGGACAGACAGACGGACAGGGTGAACATTGAACTCGAATGAGGGGCTTATGTACCAAGTATCACAAAGCAAGTTTTAAAGAAATCCCAAATCATTCCTTCAGAAGATATTCTCTGTAAAACATTCAGCCAATCAGATTGCAGCAGCCTCATTAAATATGCACGGAATTTGGCGAACATCGAACTTGAGCAAGGGACTTATGTACCAAGTATCATAAGCATGTTTCATCGAAATCCCATCATTCCTTCTCAAGATATCGTGCAGAAAGCGAAACGGACAGACAGACAGACAGACAGACAGACGGACAGACAGACGGACAAGGTGATTACTATAGGGCACCCGCATCGCAATGCGGGGCCCTAATTATACAGCTTATAAGGTTAGATAACTGTAGACAGAATTATACAGCTTATAAGGTTAGATAACTGTGGACAGAATTATACAGCTTATAAGGTTAGATAACTGTGGACAGAATCCTAGTGCTGATAAGGTTAGATAACTGTAGACAGAATCCTAGTGCTGATAAGGTTAGATAACTGTAGACAGAATTATACAGCTTATAAGGTTAGATAACTGTAGACAGAATCCTAGTGCTGATAAGGTTAGATAACTGTAGACAGAATCCTAGTGCTTATAAGGTTAGATAACTGTAGACAGAATCCTAGTGCTTATAAGGTTAGATAACTGTAGACAGAATAATAGAGCTTATAAGGTTAGATAACTGTAGACAGAATCCTAGTGCTTATAAGGTTAGATAACTGTAGACAGAATTATACAGCTTATAAGGTTAGATAACTGTAGACAGAATCCTAGTGCTGATAAGGTTAGATAACTGTAGACAGAATTATAGAGCTTATAAGGTTAGATAACTGTAGACAGAATTATAGAGCTTATAAGGTTAGATAACTGTAGACAGAATCCTAGTGCTTATAAGGTTAGATAACTGTAGACAGAATCCTAGTGCTTATAAGGTTAGATAACTGTAGAAAGAATTATAGAGCTTATAAGGTTAGATAACTGTAGACAGAATTATAGATCTTATAAGGTTAGATAACTGTAGACAGAATCCTAGTGCTTATAAGGTTAGATAACTGTAGACAGAATCCTAGTGCTTATAAGGTTAGATAACTGTAGACAGAATTATAGAGCTTATAAGGTTAGATAACTGTAGAAAGAATTATAGAGCTTATAAGGTTAGATAACTGTAGAAAGAATTATAGAGCTTATAAGGTTAGATAACTGTAGAAAGAATTATAGAGCTTATAAGGTTAGATAACTGTAGAAAGAATTATAGAGCTTATAAGGTTAGATAACTGTAGACAGAATCCTAGTGCTTATAAGGTTAGATAACTGTAGACAGTTTCCTAGTGCTTATAAGGTTAGATAACTGTAGACAGAATACTAGTGCTTATAAGGTTAGATAACTGTAGACAGAATTATAGAGCTTATAAGGTTAGATAACTGTAGAAAGAATTATAGAGCTTATAAGGTTAGATAACTGTAGAAAGAATTATAGAGCTTATAAGGTTAGATAACTGTAGACAGAATCCTAGTGCTTATAAGGTTAGATAACTGTAGACAGAATCCTAGTGCTTATAAGGTTAGATAACTGTAGACAGAATAATAGTGCTTATAAGGTTAGATAACTGTAGACAGAATCCTAGTGCTTATAAGGTTAGATAACTGTGGACAGAATTATACAGCTTATAAGGTTAGATAACTGTAGACAGAATCCTAGTGCTTATAAGGTTAGATAACTGTAGACAGAATTATACAGCTTATAAGGTTAGATAACTGTAGACAGAATCCTAGTGCTTATAAGGTTAGATAACTGTGGACAGAATTATACAGCTTATAAGGTTAGATAACTGTGGACAAAAATACAGACTTTACTAGTCTATAGATAAATATGGATAGTAATATACAGTCTTCATAAAAGTAAGATAAATGTGACAGAAATATGATCTGTATCAGAAAAGATAACTGCAGACAGAAACAGTTTTTATAAGTTTAGAATAGATAGATAAGGACACAAATAGTCTTAAATGTGCACAACAAACACCATCTTTATACAGATAAATTTGAACAAAACAGATTTATCAGCTTAATAGAAGTAAAACTAAAAACAAATTACATATGAAATCTACACTGAATTATTATTGTGGGTTCACTAATTCATGTGAGTTGAACATTTCATTATAGTTTAATTCTATATATTCATGACTACATGTTTGTTTACAAATTGTAATGGATATCAGACAAAGTAAAACTCACTGAAAATATTTCAACAACTGATGTATAAGTTTCCATAAATTAATCTAATTATGATACATTAATTGCCTGTATGATTCACCAAGAGGATATATCAAGTATTAATTTTGTTTATTGTTAAAAAAAGTCTCATTTGACATTTTCAAGAGGCCCAGAGGTCCTGTATTGCTCACCTGGATCTTTATGGCCAACAGTACTATTTCTGTGCATATGTTCCACATTTAACAAATTTGATCCCTGTGACCTTGACTATGGGTCAAGGTCATTTCTTTTTGCAAACTTTCTTGGACTTATAAAAGGAACATACTGGCCAAATATAATGATTCTAGCCTTTTCGATGTTTCAGAAGAAATTGTTTCAACACATTTGACCCCTGTATCCTTGAAGATTGGTCAAGGTCATTTTTACAGCAAACTTTGTAGGACACCATAAGAGGAACATAGTAGCCTAATATCATGATTCTAGGCCTTCTGGTATATGGGGAGAAGTCGTTGAAAGGTTTTAACAGCCACCTTGAATATGGGTCAAGGTCATTTCTTTTCGCAAACTTTGTTGGGCTTCATCAAAGGAACCTTCCAGCCAAATATGATAAGTCTATGCCTTTTGGTATTTCAGAAGAAGTTGTTTAAATGAAAAGTTGACGGACGGACGACGGACGGACGAACGGATGCCACGGTATGGCATAACCTCACTTGGCCCTTTGTGCTAGGTGAGCTAAAAATCAAAACCTTCAATGTAATCTCAATACCATGATTCATAGCTATAGGACAGCTTTCCAGTCAGTGATCAACTTACCTGTTAGGATCATCATCCTTGGCAACAGCATATCCAAGCTTCTCAGACATCTGACGAACTGAAAAAATAATCAAAACTACAAGTCTGACTTTCTCATTCTCACAATCACAAGTGAAGTCTGACTTTCTCATTCTCACAATCACAAGTGAAGTCTGACTTTCTCATTCTCACAATCACAAGTGAAGTCTGACTTTCTCATTCTCACAATCACAAGTGAAGTCTGACTTTCTCTATCTCACTATGACAAGTCAAAGATGACTTTTTCTTTCTCATAATCACAAATGAGATATGATTTTCTGATTCTCACATTGACAATGTCCCTATATACTATTATAGATCATTATTACTTCCATCCGATCTCAATGTTAGTGTAAAATGTTATGCTTTACTTTTAGAGCTTGTTGCCTCCAGCCCTGTAGCTTGGAGCACCAAGGCAATGTCTGATGTAAGGACACCAAACATACCCTGTACTTAAAATGAGAGCTTGGAGCACCAAGGCAATGTCTGATGTAAGGACACCAAACATACCCTGTACTTAAAATGAGAGTTTGGAGCACCCAGGCAATGTCTGATGTAAGGACACCAAACATACACCTGTACTTAAAATGAGAGCTTGGAGCACCCAGGCAATGTCTGATGTAAGGACGCCAAACGAACCCTGTACTTAAAATGAGAGCTTGGAGCACCCAGGCAATGTCTGATGTAAGGACACCAAACCTACCCTGTACTTAAATGAGAGCTTGGAGCACCCAGGCAATGTCTGATATAAGGACACCAAACCTACCCTGTACATAAATGAGAGCTTGGAGCACCCAGGCAATGTCTGATATAAGGACACCAAACCTACCCTGTACTTAGATGAGAGCTTGGAGCACCCAGGCAATGTCTGATATAAGGACATCAAACCTACCCTGTACTTACTTATATCATATCGAGTGCCACCAAGGTTAACAGTGATGAGACTTTTCTTTTTTCTTTTCTTTTTTGGTATAAGTGGTCCTTTGAGTTGGTCATCTGCATCTGCCATTTTTTGTTGCTTTTCATCAAGACGATCCTCATGGCGTCGCCCTGTCTGTGGAAGAGGTCCTGTGGCAGTGGCACTAGGCCTTCTTGTGTAGTGCATCAGGGAACTCAAGGTCACATCTAGAATTATACAGTAAAAAGCTCATACAATCACATCAAACACTGATCTCAAGGTCATATCTACAATTACACAGTAGAATGCTAACATGACCCCATCATACACAGATCTCAAGGTCACATCTACCATTGTATAGCAGAAATCTGATATGACCCCATCATACACTGATCTCAAGGTCACATCTACCATTGTATAGCAGAAATCTGATATGACCCCATCATACACTGATCTCAAGGTCACATCTACCATTGTATAGCAGAAATCTGATATGACCCCATCATACACTGATCTCAAGGTCACATCTACCATTGTATAGCAGAAATCTGATATGACCCCATCATACACTGATCTCAAGGTCACATCTACCATTGTATAGCAGAAATCTGATATGACCCCATCATACACTGATCTCAAGGTCATATCTACCATTGTATAGCAGAAATCTGATAAAACCCCATCATACACTGATCTCAAGGTCACATCTACCATTGTATAGCAGAAATCTGATATGACCCCATCTTACACTGATCTCAAGGTCACATCTACAAACTGGGTTTTCTCAGCTGCTGTTTCATTGTCATCAGTCATATGTAGGTCAAGGTTTGATGCATAAATTCCTATACTGACATGACAGTTTGATTTGGAAGTTTCTTTTCTATCTAGCACACAGATGTGTAACAGCCTTAGAATTGGTTTTAACTCTGTCAGCTGTTAGCTAGGTCACAACAGTGTTAAGAGGTATTGATCATACACAGCATCCACACAATATGACTAAATGTCTTCAACATCATATCTTGCCTTAAATGGATTGATAATCTGCTCATTATGGAAACTAAACTCAGCCTTTATAAAGGAAGAAAAAAAACATCAACCATCCATCTCTTCTCTGTATTTCACAGTACGCCAAAAATTATTTCATTTATTTTTTTCTGTTAACATTTCTCACAATAGATTAATATTTCATACAGTTCTATAATTAGAAACACTGCACCAAAACTACATTATTTCGGCAGAATATTTGTGGATTTTGTTGATGAAATTGATTCTCCTATTAACTTTTCCTCTAAATTCAAATTCAGTTATACTCATCAGTTTTGAGTTTTTTCTGCTTGTCATGTTTTTGATTATATATATACATATATTTAAATGCTATGCTCCTTCAAACAAAACATGCTGTTTAGAATCATAATTAACCATCTGCACATCATATTACAACAACACCTTATGGCCTTAATCAGCCTTACCTGTAAGCCACATTGAGTCAGCCTTGCAATGGTCATACAGTAACTAGTGTTAGCAGCCTAAAGATGGTTGGATTACCAACAGTGAATTTTACCTGTATCTCTAACACTATATAAAGTACTGGCTTTGGTATGTAGCTACATATCCACTTGTAAAGACCTGAAATCAATATTTAATACTCTATATGTGAGATCTCTCTTCCTTTACAAAGTTACAACATCTTTTTAACTGCTTTAATAATTCAAAAGAGGCAACGACTGTGATGTGTGAGGCTCTGGTTTGGGAGAAATAAATTCTCAATGTTTGAATGGAAATTATGAACTGAAATACATGTGTATATTCCTGCTATCTGCCTTCAATATATACCAACCCTGTGTAACCTTCAGTGTCCCGATCATGATCTTAACAATTTACAAGAGAAAACCAGATCTAACCATAAACTGTTCATAGAAAACCCACATACATGATTTCTATATGTTTCAGATATAGATTTCGAAGGATTTACTGTCCTACAGTGTAACCAATCCTTGGTAGATTGTTCAAATATACACTAGATTGACCAGGTCTCACTGCAATAATTATCTGGTTGAATTGAAGCATTTCTAAACTTCCTGTACTACAATGTAACAATTCTAATGATAGATCTGATCAAGTGTACACTAAACTTCCTGTACTACAATGTATCAATTCTAATGATAGATCTGATCAAGTGTACACTAAACTTCCTGTACTACAATGTAACAATTCTAATGATAGATCTGATCAAGTGTACAGTAAACTTCCTGTACTACAATGTAACAATTCTAATGATAGATCTGATCAAGTGTACACTAAACTTCCTGTACTACAATGTAACAATTCTAATGATAGATCTGATCAAGTGTACACTAAACTTCCTGTACTACAATGTAACAATTCTAATGATAGATCTGATCAAGTGTACACTAAACTTCCTGTACTACAATGTAACAATTCTAATGATAGATCTGATCAAGTGTACAGTAAACTTCCTGTACTACAATGTAACAATTCTAATGATAGATCTGATCAAGTGTACAGTAAACTTCCTGTACTACAATGTAACAATTCTAATGATAGATCTGATCAAGTGTACACTAAACTTCCTGTACTACAATGTAACAATTCTAATGATAGATCTGATCAAGTGTACACTAAACTTCCTGTACTTCAATGTAACAATTCTAATGATAGATCTGATCAAGTGTACACTAAACTTCCTGTTCAATGTAACAATTCTAATGATAGATCTGATCAAGTGTACACTAAACTTCCTGTACTACAATGTAAACAATTCTAATAAATACTACAATGTAACAATTCTAATGATAGATCTGATCAAGTGTACAGTAAACTTCCTGTACTACAATGTAACAATTCTAATGATAGATCTGATCAAGTGTACACTAAACTTCCTGTACTACAATGTAACAATTCTAATGATAGATCTGATCAAGTGTACACTAAACTTCCTGTACTACAATGTAACAATTCTAATGATAGATCTGATCAAGTGTACACTAAACTTCCTGTACTACAATGTAACAATTCTAATGATACAGTAAATCCTGATACAATGTGTACACTAAACTTCCTGTACTACAATGTAACAATTCTAATGATAGATCTGATCAAGTGTACACTAAACTTCCTGTACTACAATGTAACAATTCTAATGATAGATCTGATCAAGTGTACACTAAACTTCCTGTACTACAATGTAACAATTCTAATGATAGATCTGATCAAGTGTACACTAAACTTCCTGTACTACAATGTAACAATTCTAATGATAGATCTGATCAAGTGTACACTAAACTTCCTGTACTACAATGTAACAATTCTAATGATAGATCTGATCAAGTGTACACTAAACTTCCTGTACTACAATGTAACAATTCTAATGATAGATCTGATCAAGTGTACACTAAACTTCCTGTACTACAATGTAACAATTCTAATGATAGATCTGATCAAGTGTACAGTAAACTTCCTGTACTACAATGTAACAATTCTAATGATAGATCTGATCAAGTGTACACTAAACTTCCTGTACTTTCATTGACTTCTTTTCAAGTTAATCATATTTTATTTCAGTGAGCTTATAATAAAACATGACAGAAAATGTTTCATATTTTATTTAAACATGCAATGATTAAACAAAACTCATATAATTTATTAGTTTTTTTTATATAAGAAAACATAGTCTTCTCAATTCTAATATTTTGTATTTAAGAATACAATGGTGATTAAGCAAACCTGTTTGGATTTTAAACAATTTTAATTTAAATGCTATAATTACTACATTAAAAGTACACGTCACATTCCCTAAACACTCCTTAACTTTCTAACTATATGTCTATAATCTAGTCTGAGATATGGACCAGGAACTGGTTTTTGTTCACACCACATCAAGGTAAAAAAACATCAAGAACACATTTCAAAGACTCTTTCAATTCAAAACTCATTTAAACTCTATTTTGAAATTTGTTTTGCAACCAAAACTCGTACAAGTAGAATGAATTAGGTGGCAGACAACAGCCATACAGTGTACCTAACACCCTATACCTTGTTGTTAACAGACGTTACTAACTTCTGTCTCCCAGAGAATACAACTCTAAAGTAAACATGTACACCTATATTCCATATAGTGGGTCAGAGAAGTTCCAACATACATACGTTAAACTCACTACTCTAGCTTCAGCATTTGGTTACACCAGACATTTGTTTAGACCAAAAGTTTGCGGTTCAGATGACATAAGTGTACATACAAAAGATAAAGTAAACAATCAGAAATAAATATCTGAGAGTAACAATTTATCATTTATATGTTTCTTTAGATGGAAACTGCAGCGACTGTGATATTTCACAATTTTTACTCTACAGAAATGAAGCTGATTAACTGCAAACAAAATATATCTATTTGATTAAATGTATAAATTCAAACCATTGAATATGTTTTTATATCTCAAAATTAAAAATATATACTTCAGATGTATATGAGTTAAACACACTGATATCAACAGTACTGATCTGACAAGTTTGTATTTGTACAAAGTTATTTAAGCTTCTATATTCATTTTGGATAACTGCGAGAGCATATACAATGCCCAAAACGCTAAAAACAAAAGTAATATCAATGAAAATGATGAATGCTTCACGAAAACAACTTTATTGGACACAAAATTTCATTAATCAAAATCAAAGTTATGAAGGGCAGATGGACAAAAGGACGAAGAAATGGACAGATGGATTGACAAAGCAGCACCTATATGCTCACCCTTCAGGAAGTGTAAAAAAATGCTCAAAACGAGATGAGTGAAGAAATAATGTCAGAGTTGAAGGATATCCTGACTGTGGTCACTGAACTGTTATAATCTTAAAGGCCATTAAATGGAGAAGTGCCAAAAAGCTACATGTGAATGTTTACAGGAGCTCTACTTATCAATCTGAGCACTGATGCATACAGAAATGTATTCTACAAAATCAATCTGTTGAAAATTCACAACAGCTGTAATTCATTAATCCAAAGTATAAAACATTCATTGTATACAAGGTGTTTCCAACCAGTGACACATTTAATTTGAAAGCATTAATACAATTTTAACTCTCTTTTTCCAAGTAACTGATACAGAAATAAATGCTTGCACTCCATGTATAACTACCCTGACTCAGAATGATGGTAGTTTCCATACCTGTGACAGAACATCAGTGGTAGTTACCTTGTGTGCTAGGAAACAGG